GCACAAGATCCAGTCAAACAAACCAAATCATGAGGTCCCTGTATTAACAGTCCACACTGTTCCAAATGACTATGAGGATAAGGTAATGCATTCGTCCTAAATCACTCTTGATTTCTATAGAACAGAACTCCTGAATAAAGGAGTAAATGTTTCCTTCCCGAAGGGACGAAATGTTCTATAAGTTATTATTTCAGTGGATGAGAATATCTGTAAGAGATACGCATCTGAGAGATACCACGAGACTCCTCGAAACTCAACTTCGCTTTGCATACTTATGAAATTGATGTTTATCAATTTCAGTGAAGTTGACTGATAGAGCAAAGATTCCCATCTTCGATCAATAAATGATATCCACCGACATTTAACATGAGATAATTACCTAACTTTCGCTGCTGAAACGCTTTTTTACACCATCAGAAGACCCATTTATAAAAAATTTGGATGGCAATTTTGATCTCCTTTGGGCCAGTTGGACTCTGAGTCAGGTCATACGCGTCCATTAGAGACGTACTGGTAAACCAAGCCTATCATAATTCACATTTTGGAATAGGACTTTTGTTGATATGTATGTGCACTCGATTATTCTACTATATCCTAAGTGAGTAGTCTTTATAATTATTATTGGATGGACTCTACCGTTGATTATTGTCCATTTTTGCTCGTGCGTAATAGCGAGAATCCGAAAATGGTTTTATGCATTCCGTGACGATTCATCCAAACCGTGTTTAGAGAACTGCGGTCAAAAGATTGGAGGTGCCCGAGTGGAGTTAATCGATTATCTGACCGTTTAGTAACTCCTCTCGCTGGTCCTTCACCAAACGACCTCGTACTCCTCGTCCCTTGGAGGTAAAATAGACGCCGTTAAACGCGACTAGTGCTCGAGGCGGCTGCTGATTGGCCAACCGGTCGGACGCAGTCAATCCGATGGACGTCCTTTATTGAGCTCTGATTGGACGAAAATGACGCGTGTGCTCAGCCCACACAGGATGGTTAGCCATGCTCGTGTTTTGGCTTCTCTCAGCCACGCCTCTACGCTCTCGCTTTCTGCCTATCAGACTTGGCCATTTTGCCATCCATCTCGGGTTTTTCTCTCTATCTCTATCTCTCTCTCTCTCTCCCCGAACGCGCACACGCGCTCTGCCGCGCTTGCGATGGCAAGACGGCCAAGTCCGCGCGGCCTGTCCAACCGGCGAAAATCGTAGCATCCAACGCTGTCCCGCCTGTATTGGCCTCAGCCGTTGCCGCATGTAGCAAAATATAACAAAATTTGGCGGATTTCTGGTGGAACATTTGTCCCAGTAACTGCGTCATCAAAAGGGCTTGACGCCTTAGTCTTGAGACCGGAGTCAGCTGTTTGTTGGACTTACTATCACTCGTTTTACACCGTTTCATCGTACCTGTTGCGGTTGGTGTTGCGGTTGCGGTTGCGGTTACGAATGCGCATGAGCATGCGTACGGACCCCATCCATCGGACACACGCATCGTCAAGTCGAAATCTCTTTTGGCCGCAAAATCCCTCCAGTCGCCCGCTACCTTCCGCCCCACCCCTCCAGCAGCTTCTGAAATAAGGATCTATTTGTGCCAGACGATGACGTAAT